TGGCCATTCTATGACAGACCTGCGGGTGGCTATCTTAAAACAGAAAACTCCCACCTGTTCATGCTCTCTGTACGTGTGTATATATATCTCCTCAATATGTTTCACTCTAGATGCATCCGAAGAAGTGGGCTGCAGCCCACAAAAGCTTATCCTCTAATAAATTTGTTAGTCTCTAAGGTGCCACAAGTACTCCTGTTCTTTTTGCGGCTACAGACTAACACGGCTGCTACTCTGAAAACAGCTCAGGTATCGGCGCCCTGGTATCCCATCCCCAATGCAGACAGTCTCAATACAACTCCCAGGCAACATCCCCAGGTCAATGCCCCACTCCCTGCTCCGTCACAGGAGGGGATCACAATGAATCTCAGTCTCTGAAGGGTGTGGCAAGCTGGAGGGGCCTCTGTCCCATCCCACTGCCCCAGGGCACCTGGGGCTGCAGGCACGTCTCCCCCAGTGCTGGGCCCAGTGCCTGCCTAGCCCTGGGGCCCTGCCACCAGCACTCACTGGCCCCCAAAGGGATGGGCCGCAGACCACTGGGGCTCCCCCTGAGAGCTGTCCCTGGGCTCAGCTGGGATGGGCCTCGGCTCTGGGGACTGAGTGCTGGGGAGCGGCGGGCTGTCCCCTCCAGGCCTGGGAGGTGGAGGGGAGTTTCTCCCCCAGCCAGGGTGGGCAGGCTCCCCATGTCGCATGAGGGGCAGGGCTTGGCCTGGGCTGACTGCCCCCGGCCCAACGGAAGGGGCTGAGGCAGGTGACGAGGGCCCCCCAGGCCCCTCTGCTGCAGCAACTGCCTCTCCCCATCCAACTGCTTCTGCAGCACCGGTCTGCAACCTGACCTGCTCTCCCAGGGCTGGCCCGGGGGCAGATGGTTTGCAGGCCTCTGGGAGCTGGGGCAGGATGGGGTGGGGGAGGTGCACCCCAAGGGAGGTGGGGGAGCTGAGGTATGGGGGTTCTCCAGGAGGTGGGGGAGCTGAGGTATTGGCGGTCCCCCAGGAGGTGGGAGAGGTGGGCCAGCTCCCCAGGGAGGTGGGGGAGCTGAGGTAAGGGGGTTCCCCAGGGGGGCCCCGGTAGTGAGGGTCAGCTGCAGTTTGTGACACGCTCTCTGCTCTGGTCTAGGCCTATACCGTGGAGAAGGTGGATGTGCATCCTCTGCTCTGCTTCAAGGTGAGCCCCCCGCATCCCCCCGGCCGAGCCCCCCGCTGGCAGGACTCCTGGTGCTTCGCTGGGATCTCTGGCTGGGTGGCTCCCCGGAGCCACACGCTGAACCCAGCCCCAGCGCGACCCACCCTGCCCTTCCTGGCGCCCCCACCAGAGGCCCTAGGCCCCTTCCAGGGGATCCTGCCCAGGGAAGAGCCCGAGCCCTGGCCCCTGCCCTCTGTTGCCAGCCGGGAAGCGGCGGGCAGGCGCGTGCTGTCAGGGCAGAGCGGGCCGGGGCTGCAGAGCCGGGCTCTCGTCTCACACAGGGCAGGCAGCCTCTGGCCGATGCCCCCCGGTGGGTAACGGAAGCCCAGACCCGTGCTGTTGCCCCCCTGTGGTGCCACCTTACAGAGGAAGGGCTTTGGCCCTGCCCCAGAGCCGACCCAGAGGGGCTGATGGGCCCCTGAGTCCCCTTCCCCTTCCCCGCCCCTCCCAACGTCCGTCGGAACAGGCTGGCGAGCTGGGGCCGGCAAAGGGCTGAAGTGCACAAGTGCCGGGCACCCTCCCCTGCCGTGCCCTTCAGCGGAGCGTGAGCAGCCTCTGCTCTCAGTGCCCAGCCAGAGGGGCCCGCTGGCGAGTGCTGACCCCCAGCCTGGCCTCCCTCTAACACCCCCTCCGGGCAGGGCCTTTCTGGTGACTTTCCTTGTTTCTCTCCAGTTCTCCTACGGCAACAGCAGCCACGTGGAGTGCCCGCACCGGCCAGGTGAGCCTGCCCTGCCTCCCTGCGGTGGGGACGGCTGGGTGTTGGGGGGACAGGGAGTGCCGTGCAGCAGCAGCTCAGCTGAGCCCTAGACTGACAACTTCCCTCTGTGCAGCCTGGCTGTGCCGGGTCCCGCAGTGCCCTGCGCCACCCGCGCCTCGGAGCTCCCTGAGCGCAGCAATGGCTCCCCTGGCCCCAGGATGCAGCCTGCTCTGGGGGGGAGCTACCGCCTGGCAGCACCGCACAGAACAGCACCTCCTGTGGACAGGAGGGGAGCCAGGGCTCCCATCCCCACCCAACACAAAGCACCAGGGCCTGAGCACAAGGAGGTGGGGCTGCTACCCATCATCATGGGGTCTGGCTAAGGGGGGGAGGGTTCTTCTCTCCTGAGAACAATGGCACCTGCAGCACAGCACCCCCTTTCTCCATGCTGGGGCCAGCCCTGCCTGCCAGGGGAGAGCGCCCCCTGCTGAGCCC